AAGCTGCAGCACAGAGACTGGGGACCCCCTCGTCCATCGATCACAAAAAGGTAACGCCCACGTTCAGCGGGGAACAGGGAAAACCGATGGAATGTTGGTCTTTATTTTAAAGGGAATGGGGGATAAAATTCGGGAGGTTTCACTGAAACTATACAAAGCCTTGGTCAGGCAACAGCTGGAATACTGTGAACATGCTTGGGGCCCCGTATCCAAGCAAAGATAGACTGGGCTTTGGAGGCAGTCCTGAGAAGGTTCACTCGGCTGATCCTGGGGATGGAGGGACTGTCTTAGGAGGGAGAGGTTGAGTCATTTGGGCCTATCCTCATTGGAGTTTAGAAGAATAAGATGTGACCTTATTGAAGCAGACGAAATTCTCAGGGGGGCCTAGGCAGAGGAGATGTGGAGAGGGTGTTTCCCCTTGTGCGGGAGAGTCTAGGACCAAAGGGATATCATCTCAGAGTAGGGGGGAGGAACTTCTTTTCTGAGGGGAGAAAATCTGTAGAATTCTCTACCGGAGGGAGTGGTGGGGGCTGCGTCATGGATTATAGTCAGGGCTGACAGAGATGGCTTTTGATAAGGAGGGGGTGGGAAGTGGAGATCAGCTGTGATGTTGTGGAAATGGAGAATCTGACAGAAGGGGGCCGAATGGCCTCCTCTTCCTGTGTCCTTGTGATAAGGACATGACTGACCTGCCTCATACCCCTGTTGCCCTCCATCACATCTTGGCATTTACTGCTGAAGGAACGGAGTAGGGAAGTGTAGCAAACGTACAAGGCATTAGCATGACCGTTTCTGGAATATTGCAGATAGTTTTGGTCCCTTCATCTGGGGAAGGGTATTGGAGGCAGCTCAAAGGTTCATTCGATCCATCCCAGAGATGAGGGGCTGTCTTACGGAGACATTGAGCAGGTTAGGCCTATAGTCCTTGGAGTTTAGAGGAATGAAAGGAGATCTAATTGAGGGATAGAAGATGCTAAAAAACAGGATTGACAAAACAGATGGAGAGAGGATTGTTCCTTACACAGGGAAATCTGGAACGAGAGGGGATTATTTTGGGGTTGGGGATTAGGGTGGCCCATGGCTCAGCGGTTAGCATTGCTGCCTCACAGCACCAGGGACCTGGGTTCGATCCCACCCTCGGGCGACTGTCTGTGTGGAGTTTGCACATTCTCCCCGTGTCTGTGTCTCTTTCTTCCGGGTGCTCCGGTTTCCTACCGGAGTCTAAAAGTGTGCAGGTTAGCGTGCTAAATTGTCCCATAGTGCCCAGGGATGTGCAGGTTAGATGGGTTATAGGGGGCTGGGATGCTCCAAGGGTCAGTGTGGACTTGTTGGGCCGAAGGGCCTGTTTCCACACTGTAGGGATTCCATATTTCTATTTAAAACAGATGAGGAGAGGTTTACCAGGATGCTGCCTGGATTAGAGGGTATGAGCTATAAGGAGAGGCTAGAATAGCTCAGCTTGTTTGCTCTGGAGCAGCAGAGGCTGAGGGGAGACCTGACAGAAGTCTATAAAATTACAAGGTGCATAGATAGGCTTTGACGATCAGAATCTTTACTCAGAGTTGAAATGTCTAAAACTAGGGGCGCGCATTGAAGGGGAGAGGGGGCAAGTTCAAAGGACATGTGACGAGTAAGTTTTTTTTTTAAAAAACACACAGAGTGGTAGGAGGTGGAACATACTCCCGGGGTGGGGGTGGAGGCAGATACGATTGTGGCATTTAAGGAACTTTTAGATAAAACACATGGATATGCAGGGAATGTAGGGACATGGTCCAAGGGCAGGCAGAAGGGATTAATTTAATTTTGTGTCATATTCAGGACAACATGGTGGGCCGAATGGCCTGTTGCTATGAATTGCATCTCTCAAAGAGTTGTGAAGTGGTAGAGTTCACTGCCCCAGAGAGCAGCGAACACTGGGACATTCAGCAGATTTAAAAACTAAAGAGAAAGACAGGTTTTTAAGTGAGTAACAGGTTAAAGGAGTTAAGGCTGAGATGGGATCAGCCGTGATGGTATGGACTGGTACATCAAACTCAAGGGACTGAATGGCCTAGTTCACAGACACACGGACACACAGTTATAGGAAGGATATTATTAAACTGGAGGGGGTTCAGAAGAGATTTACCAGGATGTTCCCGGGTATGGAAGGTTTGAGTTATAAGGAAAGGCTGGGTAGGCTGGGACGTTTTTCACTGGAGCATACGAGGTTGAGGGGTGACCTGAGAGGTTTATAAAATCAGAAGGGGTATTAGATAGAGTTTCAAGACTAGGGGGGCACATTTTTAAGGTGAGAGGAGAGATTTAAAAAGATGTGGGAGCAAATTTTTGTTTTAAAAACAGAGGGTGGTTCGTGTGTGGAATGAACTTCTTGAGGAAGTGGTGGATGTGGGTACAGTTACAGCGTTTAAAAGGCATTTGGAGAAGGACATGGATAGGAAAGGTTTGGAGGGATATGGGCCAGGAGCAGGCAGGTCGGACTAGGCTAGTTTGGGATTGCATTCGGCATGGACTGGTTGGACCGAAGGGTGTGTTTCTGTTGTGTGACCACGATACCAGCCAAAGCACTGAATCAGAGAAGGGCAGGCAGAGTGTTCGGGAGCAAACCAGCTCACTCTACCGGTTTGGCAACATTCTGCACATGAACAACATTCCAGAGGGACTAGTGCCAATGTTCATATACAGCAACCATCGCCTACTCCACCCAGTAACTCTCTCACAGAACAAAAAAAAAAGCCCCTTACACAACTCCGAAAGGTCAGAGACGCAGCCCTGTGAGGAACGGAGGAAACAGGGAAACAGCAAACACCAGGAGAGGAGAGGTGCCACTCCACACTTTGCTCACACACACGAAACAACAACCCCATGCCAACCTGCACGTCCAATTCACACAGTTTCACCACATTGTAATCACTGCAGGAATTTACAACAGGACACACGCTGACTCTCACTGCGGGGGGGGGACGCAGGGTACCCCACCAATCCCCTCCCCCCAACCCCCACAACACACAGGGGTACAATCACTCTGGGATCTTGCTGTGTAATGCTAGATGATACCCCTTACCATCAGAACGACTTTGCCAACGATGAGGACAGCTTTTAAGGCTGGTGACGCACTGGATTCCCCCATCTCGCTCTCTTCAATCAGTCACTGCCAGATCAGACTACACAGAGAGGCACAGACTTTAGTTAATATCCTTCAGGCATCCAGTCACATCGTTCCCAGTATCCCCTCCCAGCATCTTCCGACAGAAACTCACTCCAAATACCCCTCATGCCTCCTTACCCAACCCCCCTCTCAAGTATCCCCCCC